AGAGTCTGCGGCGGCAGCGGCAGCATCGCAGAGCGTGGTTATTCCGTCCTCGGCCAGCAGGGCGCGCGCGCGCACAGGACGGCCGTGTTGGCCCTAAGGTCGGTCTGGCTTTACTAGTTCATTTTCATTTTCGGAGAACCAAGATTCGCCTGTGGCTCAGCGGTTAAGATCACCGACCGCCCTTCCAGCGCTCCCGAGTTCGAGGCCACGACAACCATTCTGTACGCGCGCAATCCCTGCTGGCCGAGGACGGAACAACAACGCTCTGCGATGCTGCTGCTGCCTCTGCTCCTGATGGGAGGTGCGCTGCCGCTGGACGGAAGCACAGCCTCCTCCCTTGATTGGGGAACATCAGGAGAGTTGAAGAGTGTGCCACCTCACCGGTGCCTGCAGGACAGAACCGATTTCCGATGTCCCTGGAAGAAAGGAGCTGACGAGCGGGAGAAATGGCAGGAAGCCACCAGTTGCTACCCCGAGGTGATCGGGCAGGTCCACCATCTCGTCTACTCAGACATCGGCAGAGATGCCTGGCCACAGAAGGTTATAGACAAGCTACTCACTAATGTGCACAGTGATCTCCAAGACACTCAGTGGGGGCCAGCGCAGCAAGACACTCAGCGGGAGCCCGCGCAGCCGGGCCCGGCCTGTCCGCCACCTTTCCCCACAGACATTCGCAAGTACTTCCGAAGAATCTCCCGCTACCTGAAGGCCAAGGGGTACAGCCCTTGCTCCTGGGAGATCGTCGGGGCAGAAATGCAAGTGGCACTTTCCGGGTTCCCAGGGTCGGCCTAAGAAGCCCCGAGAAGAGAAGAGGCTCCCTGCAGGGATCTCCACTAAGATGACAGCTGCCTCAACTCACAGCCCAGGCACAGATCCGCACTAGATGATAAGAAGAGCTTTAAATCGGAGGAGAAGGCAGGAAGCGTCAACCGTCCCCTTCTGCTCGTTCCCTTTGGGGCCATGCTCCTCTCCAGGGAGTGAAGCCCACGGATCTACCTTTTCCCATTTCTTGTGAACAGCACACGTGGACCGAGAAAACTCAGTCTGAGGCCAACTGGAGGATGGAGGCTCAAGGAGGTCTGCGTTCAAGTTCAAGTTCAAGTTCAGCGCCTCTCCGAGACTTTCAGAGGGCCAGTGCCACGCCAGACATATGGAGAGGCCATCGTTGGGGAGAGGAGGAGAGGGTGGGGCTGGGGGGAGGCAGGAGCGCCCATCGTCATGCTGACCCCGTGGCCTCCTCAGGGAGTTGAGCGAGGCGGGATCAAGGATGTCCTCCCGGGCTCTGCAGTCACGGGGACCCCAGAGGCCCACGGAGCCTTGCTCGACTCCTTCTCCCCGGAGCCGGCGGTGGGATACTTAGGGGGGAGGGCCAGGCACATCCCGAGGGTTTCTGCCCCAGCCCGTGATGCTGTCTGTGGCCACAGCTCTCTAGGTTCTCCGCAGCCAGAGGCCGAGGCCCTCTTCCAGCCTCCAGTTCCCTGTCCCGCTTCCTTACCATATTTGCTGCCCAGACTCCCCAGAGCGATCCCTTCCCCACCAGAGAGCAGCACGGTCAGGCCAGGATAGCGGGCTGCACTTCTTCCTGAAACACCCCACCCCCACCCCCCAGACAGTGTGATAAACGAGCTAGCTAGCTCTCCTAGGAGCCCCTGGTGAGCCAGTCTGCAGAGCAAAGCCTTCCCCTAGCCCACCTGGGGCGACTCAGGTCGTCCTGGGAGCACGGAGCAAGGAGGCACACAGCTCTCTCCTCTGGGAACCTGACAGGGAAGCCTGCAGACGGCGCAACTAGGCAGAGCCAACAGCTTGGGCCGGCTCCCGCCAGGCCAGGCCCTCGCTCTCCTCCTGGCTCTGCCGCTGGGAGAGTCCAGGCCTGCCCGCTGTGGCCG